GCCTGCCCTCTGCAGACCCAGGAGATGGAGCAGTGGGTTGCTTCCCCGAGGAAGTGGCTGGGAGGGGCCTGGGGCTGGGTCCTGCATGGCTGGCCTGTGGGGACAGGTAGAGGTGGGAGGAGTGGTGGAGAATGAATATCAGAACACCTGGTAAGTCATGAAGAGGAGCCTCAATTGACTTCAGCGGCAGTGGAAGACAGCAGCAGTCTCAGGCATTGGTGTTACAAGACCAGGGTGTTAGATAGGTGTGTTCTCGGACAGGACTGAAGGAGAGACAGAGGGGGCTGAGACTAGAAGCTGAGTGCAATGCTGCAGTGAGAACCAATCAAGGCCTGCCCTACGGAAGGGGCTGGGAGCATTGGAATGAACAGCTCAGTTCAGGAGCTATTTCTGCACAGAATTAGTAGTGCCTGGGACTGCTGTGATGGGGGATGGTGAGAGATGAGGACTCAGGGAAGTCCAGGTCCTTTCTGCTTTGGGCACCTGAGTTAGATGGCGTCTCCACTACGCGGTGCAGTGCGCTGACTGGGTGATGGAGGTTGTGGTGGGAGAGAAGGAGACCAGTTTTCAGTTTTTAGCAGATTATATTTGAGAAACCTCTGGGACCTTCAGTGGTTAGACCCAGAGCAGCATCCCGCAGTGCAGAGGTGAATCACAGAGGGGGACAAGGATGCCAGATACCAATGCCCTCGGCCCCAGGCCCCTCTGGCCGAAGCAGCTCTGCTCTCACCACACATGCACCAGCCCCATGCACCATAAAAGTGTCATTTGGCACAATTAGAACTCCGAAAACTCTTCTTTCTCCTTCCCTACCCCCTCCACACATAAAAGTTTCTACATGGGATTCAAAGGAGTGACAGACCTCTGAAGTCCAGCCTTAAGTCCCCAGGTACCGTAAGTTAATGCTCCCTGTTATAGACAGATAAGAGGAGTGAGGATAGACCTGGCAGTCAGAGAGGAGCCAAGAAGGAGAGAAAGGAGCTGAAGGGTAAAGGGAGACTCCAGAGAGCCCCCTGGGAGGAGAAGGGAGGGAGGGAGGGAGGAGGGGACAGCCTTGGAGATGCGCTTGGAGGCAGACAGTGTGGGAGGCTGCCTAGCAGCAGGAAAGCTGGGATTGTAACAGCTCTGCATGTGTTTAAGGTGTGCATTTAATTTTTGAGCAAGATCTCTGCCGCTGAGGCGCCCCTCTCAGGACTCACAATAAATCGCTGTGTAACAGTCACGCTCCAGCATGTCAAGGTACTCAACGTGTACTCCGTCTGTTTTTCCTAATGCCCTGCTCCCTGCCCCCACTGGCCCTAACCCCATCTCAGAGTGCCTACCGAGTCTTCACCAGTAGCACCTGCTTAAAGCACATGATTCTCAAAGTCCGGAGGGACGCACGCAATTTTGAGCGCTACCAGCACAACCGGGACTTGGTGAACTTCATCAACATGTTCGCAGACACACGGCTCGAACTGCCCCGGGGCTGGGAGATCAAAACAGACCAGCAGGGAAAGGTGAGTGTGACTGACATGTGGACCTTTTGCCAAGTGGGCTCTTTCCCCAAAAAGAGGACCGTGAGAAAAAGAGGAGAGAGGCTGACAAGCACAGGGAAGCCTGGTCGCAGGGCTGTGCCGTGGTCCTCAGAGCAGGGGCGGGGCAGCTGTGCAGCAGGTTTCTGCCCTGAGCCAGGCAGGATATTTAGCAGCATTCCTGCCTCTGCCCACCGATGCCAAAAGCACACCTACCAGGTTGTGACATTGGAGGGCAGAATGTGCCCAGTTGAGAACTACTGTCTACATCTTTTAAATTTAGGTTTGAAACTTGAAACCTATTGTTTTACCTTCTTAGCTCACTCTCAGGGAATGGAATTACTCGTTAAATGGGAGTAACATTATTAGAGTCCTCGTTGTGATTGCCCTAGTAAGATTTTGGTTCTCATTAAAACAGCCTGGCAAACAGGGACAGTGGGTATTGGGCCCATGCGACGTTACTGGCTTACATTGTGCCTTTATGTGACCTGAACCAATACCAGTCTTTTCGAGCAATGTTTTAAAAGTCTAGCTCAGTTTGCTAAAGCAACCATGTTTTTTTCTTAATCACCATCAGTCACCTCAGTGTATTTATAGGATTGGCCAAACAATTTACTAAAGATTTGTCCCTGTGTAATCTTGTATTACTTTGATAGAGAGACTCCCTTCCCCTCCTCTCCCCTGAGAGACTCAAACCCCTACCCCACAACCCCCTTCAGGTGCCTCAGACCCTGACTTTCTGTGTGAAGAAAGACCGTGTCCACAACACAAGTCCATTGGTCTAGCAGATCTCTGTGACCTGCACCTCTGTGGGTGCAGGTGAACAGCAGACATGCCACATGGAGCCCCAGAGCAGCCACAGCCAGAAGCTGCTGCCCAGGACCTTCTCTTTTACTGGACATGGCCTCCCCTGGGAGAATGACAGGGATTTGTACCGTGAGGACTTGGTGGTATGTGTGAGGGTGGGAAATGAAGCCTGAGCTGGAACAGACAGCAAAGGAGCATCTAGGTAGAGCTGGAATTCTCCTGCCTCCTCTCCACGGTCTGTGGTGGCCACATCTACCAAGATGCCAAGGGGTGCCACCATGAATCAACAACCAGGAAGGCAGCGCTTACTGGGCACAAGCACACACACAGGCAAGTGGCTTGTTTGGCCCTGGCATTCCAGGACTGCAGCTCTCCCGTAAGGATGCCAACAGCAGGGGCTCCAGTGGGATGCCAGAGAGGCCCCCAAATGCTCAGCCCTGATGCTCTGTGGTATGTGCAGGCCTCCGTCCTCACAGCAGCAGGGAAGCACAGTAGCTGAGATGTCCCCCAAGAGTTTTAGTCATTTTGAAATGCCCATTAGGCAATTTTCTCCCCAATTCTGTTTAGTGAGATAGCATCATATACAAGACAGAAAAAAGTCTGAATCTGAAATGAGATTTTCTTTCAGTTATACACACACAGTGGTGTTTCCAATCCCTTATTAATTAAAACACACATAAAACTCACAGTTTGTAGACAGTTTCAAAGTGATATACAAGTATGTAATTGCTGTGGGAAAGTAGCCTTAAATTTGAAATGTGTTATCACAATCCACACAGTAGAAACGGACAACGGAGGAGAGAGTACAACCAGGGGTAGAAGGCATGGACATGGATAAGCCCATCCCATTCTAAATGTGAGACCTGGGCAGGTCACCTCCCCTCTCTGAACCTCACCTTATTTACCATAAAGTAGCCATAATGGTGCCTGCCTTCATGGCTTATAAGAAGATATGAAAGGTTAAGTTAATGTGGGAATCCATGATAATGTAGGAGATTAGAATATCTGCTGTTCTTGCTCTTAATGCTGTAGGAATGTCCCCAAAAATCCAAGATCACGACTGGCAACTGAGGGGAAATAAAAGTATACATCATTGCTAATGCAATGGGAATAGATTGGGAAAAACATTTCTGGACTATATTCTCCAGGCTCAGTTCTCTAACCTGGAAAGAACGTGCCATCCAGGAGACTGGGTTTGAGAACACCACTCAGTGAATGGTGTGCTGATAGCTCTCTAAGCAAAAGCCATCTTCGGAGGTGGCCAGAGCACGTCCCACGACATCATGTTCTTGTTCCTTCTTGCTGTATTGACACATTCAGAGATAACAGCCTTCACTTTTACTGTGCACTGTGGGAGGAACAGAAGGACTGGGGCCATCCTCCCAAAGGGGCACAGACACTGAACTCTGAGAGCTGTGCCTCTTCAGGAGCACTGGAGCAGTGAACAAAATGGCTTCCGACTCATATGTTACCTTGGAATTCTGAGAAAGGACACAGTCTCCCACCTGACTTGGGTAAAGACTATGTGTGGGCCTTGGGTGGGTTCCAGGGAGAGCCAAGCAGAATGTTTATCATCCAGAGAGGTACAGAGAGGGAGCCACTGTGGGAGGTGGGACAGGTGACATCTATCTGTGGCAGGCATGAGACGGAGGCGGCCTCTGCTCTGCTAAGGAATGAACACATAATGACCCAATGATGAAGGAATCCATCTTTATCCAAGGAAATTCACATCTTAGAGGATAATTTTCTTCAGAAAATAGAAAATTTAAAAGATTCCTGCTTATCACCGACAAGATGGCTTAGGAGTACATGATTCGTATTAAGCAAGAAGAAACAACGAACAGAAAAGAAGCTGAGAGGAAGCCGTATGATCTGGCAATACCACTTCTGAGGATATATCCAAAAGAATCGAGATCAAAATCTTGAAGAGACAGCTGTATGCCCATGTTCCCTGCAGCCTTATCCACAAGAGCCAAGATCTGGAAGCAACCTAGATGTCTGCTGAAGGATGAATGGGTAAAGAAAATGTGGTACAGACATACAATAGAATATTATTCAGCCTTTAGAAAAAAAGGAAATTCTGACACATGCTACAACATGGGTAAAGGTGGAGGACACTGTGTTAAGTGAAATTAGTCACAGGACAAGCACTGCATGATTCCACTTATATGAGAACCTGAAACACTCGAACTCATAGAAACAGAGAATGGTGGTGGCCCAGGGCTGGGGGTGGAGGGAGCAGAGAGCTTCTGTTCCACGGCTGTGGAGTTTCAGTTGTACAAGATGAATAAATGCTAGAGATCTGCTGCACAGTCTTGTGCTATAGTTAGCAATACTGTGCTGTACACTTAAAAACTGGCTAGAAAGTAAATCTCATGGTAAGTGTTCTTACTACCATTTAAGAGAAAAGAAAAAGTGGGCTGAAACTAAACATTTCAAGATTGCAAGGAAAAACAACATGTATAACATAGGGATAAAGAGAGCAGAACTGACATGATATGAACATGGAAACAGTTGCCAAAGCAGAGGAAGGAATCAGACTGTACACAGTGAAGAATAGGTTTATAAAAATGCAAAAGCTGAAAAAAAGAAAAAAATAGCTCTTCTCAGTGAGGTCTACCCTAATCATCCAGTTTAATGCCAAAATCCTCCCCCAAGATCCCTAACCCATGTGCTCCACCATATAATTTACATATTCGGTGTTTGCTGTTTGAACTCTTTTTCCTGTCATAATTTTAAGATCCTCAGGAGCAGGGCTCTTTGCTTGCTTATTGATGAAACCCCAAAGGCCTAGAATAGTGCCTGGTGGATAGATGGCCCTCAATAAATCTCTGTTGAGTGAATGACTTATAGGTGTTCCTGAAGTAAAAGCCAGAATAATAGGTACAATACCAATAATTAAATATTAAAGATAAATATTTAAATTATTAACTGTTGAAAGTAAAACTGTTCTTAAATGGTTCGGGTAGGCAGATTAATTCACAGACTACTATAACTCACTGAGTTATACTAAAATTAATTCAATTCCACATCTATACATACTGTGGAATGTCTTTAAATAGAGATTTAAAAAATCTTATCAATATACATCCATGATAATAGAAAAGCTACCAACTAAAGAGTAAAAATCAGACAAGCTTCAAGTTTCCCATCCATAAAACTGAACTGTAGAAATCCACAGTGCAGTGATTACAGGTTATTAATGAGGAAAGTTTGTAGCCCAATAATCCCATATCCGAATTATTATCATTCCAGTGTGAAGACCCTAGCAAACAACCGCATGTATTTCGTTGCTTAGGGGAGATGTCAGAACTCCCCTACTCTCTTATCCATCCTAAAAAAATAAAAACACCAAAGCCATCCTTCAGATAGCTCACAAATGAAGCAGAACAGGAAATCAGTAATGGGAAATCATAATATAAAAAGACTATGGAGGTATTATAATTAATCAAATACATAAATACAAATACCTGCTATTAAAATGCTTTAAAATATATTAGAAAAGTCTCAATAAAATATGAGAATATATGTATGGTTTTAAAAATGGAGTAATTGTGTAAGAACAAACTGGATCAGTATCCCCAGACTTGAATAAAAAAGATGAGAGAGTGGGAAGAGGGTGGGTGTGCAGGGCAAGCAGGGCAGGCAGTTCTGCTAATTTCCTATTTAGGTGGAAGGAGAGTCAGATTGGAAAATCTGAAAAACCAAAGGTTAAGTATAGTTATTTGGCAAACTAAAAAACTTTGTACCAGTGAAAGCAAGATTTTTTTCTTTTGAATTCCTACAAACAAAATAAAATTCACATGGCTAAACACCAAAAAGTCCACAAAGAAGCAAAGAAAATGGAAATAATAAAATTAAGATAACAAAACTAAAGCCCAGCATAATAGTCATGGCAGTAGGTGGAAATAAGATAAACTTACATGCCAAAAGGAAAATGCTTTTTGATTTAGTAACAAACAGATCCAGTTTATTAAAAGACAAACCTAAGAAATGCTTCAGTAAATTTAAAAATAAAAGAATAAATATTGATCTACTGTGAGAACAATAATAGAAAAATCAGTGGTGGTGTTTTAATATCATGCAAAAGAGAGTTCAAATCCAGAATCATTAAGTGGGGTCAAAGGAAGATTTTATATTAATCAATGGCACAATGAAAATAAAGATACAATAACCAT